TTTTCTGTAACACTGTTTACCATCACAATTTTAATTCGAAATACAAATTACGTCACGAATAGAGAAATKTATAGGTGGTAGTTGCCTGTTGGTATACACTATACACTAAACACTTATACAGTTACTTGAGGAATATTTTAATATCGCATATATAGTTATAATTTATGGACCATTTTCAGTTATTTTATTAATAATTATTATATATAAATTCATATCAGTGTGAATTAGCAGTGACTGCTAAAAATGGACCCATAATATTATCTAGTTATGATATCTCACCTGTATGCCTGCAGTTATCATAGTGTTGGGTAGTAAGTATATCAAGCAATGMGTAAGTGTAATAAAAAAGTATATAGGTAAATTATATATATGTATAATATACAAAATAATGGAGTTTTACTTTGTTATTCACATAACTTGATGTGTTTATTTTCGTCTGATTAGAATCAAAAATATTATTATTTTTGAAGTTAATAATATATCAAAATAATAATATTTTTATCTATATATAATATGGAATCAGTAAGTCAAATAAATTTTCATAATAATACACATCAAAAACAATTGTTATACTTCGCTTACTAGTTGTAGTTTATTTCAACGTACATGGAACGGAACGGTAAAATCGTCTAAATTGTCAACTCGAATCACGCAAGACACCAAAACAAGAAAAAAAAAAATATAAACCTTGTTTATTTTTCTCGTACACGCACATAGCAATCTMTAGGTATTATTGTTTGTTGTAATAAAAGGGAAAAAATCTTATGGTAGCGAATCGAGACAATCGAGTCGATATAGTATACAAGGTAGGTATACGTAGGTACCTATACGTATAGAACTGCGTATTCCCACATTTATTATGAGTATTATGAGTGTAACCTCAATCTGTCGGAAACGTGGGTAAATGTTTAAACTTTTGAAAATGCAATACGTAATACGATTAAATTTKATTACACGTGTTCAATAAATTTATGATAATCCTACAACTGAAAAAATGTAATTGAAATACTAAGTTAAACATCTTCGCAAACATTAGAAAAAATTATTCATATAAATAATATCTCAAGTAAAAATTAAAATTAATTTAACATTTTTAAGAAATTTTTAGCTATAAATGTCTTAAGAGGACGTGATACCCGCATGTGTTGTCTCCGTCTTACAAGTTAGTTTTACTTTATGATGAAAAGCCTATAAAAATATTTTTTTTTGCTTAGCAATAAATTGAAAAATCTATTTGAAATTTAAATTTGCTTAAATTATAAAGCATATGTATATTTTACCAATAATATAGTGATCAATTTCCCATCTATCAAAGCATTAAGGTGTTTAGATTTATTGAACAGAGTAACAAAGTTTACCTACTTATTGTTTATTATAACAGTATGATAAGTCCTACTCTTTAGTCATAACCGAAAACTATCTCTAAGTAAAAATTATCAGCAAAAACAAAGAACAAATTATAAAGAAATACATGTTAACACGTATATCTAAAAAAAACATTATATATATATATATATATTTTATATATATAAAAAACATTTTTCTCGGTTTGAGTAGGTTTTTTATTGTATTTTAAATAGTAAAATTTCGAAAAAAAAATGTTTTAATTCAATAAGATTTATTTATTAGATTAAATATGGTTTAAATAGGGACCAATAAAACGGTAGAAAACGTTCAATGTATAATTTATATTTAATTATAATATGTCTTATATCTGTAGTTCCATGCAAATTATTATTTTAGCCTTTAGGTACCTTGACCTTGAATAAACAAATTGTTATACTAATGYAGCCCGCGTAGGTAAGTCATTTGTTTCGCATGCGATTCCGTCAAACTACAAGTACGTGCGCATTAATTTTTCTTTTAAAATGAACTTTCAGTCGATTAGAAAAATGGTACACTCCTATAATACTATATAAAGTATAATGTTGTTGGTAATAAATAATAATATGCATAGGCGTAGCGTGATGAATTTATATAGGGGGCTATAGYCTATTATATTTCTGATAAACGAGTATATTTAAAAAATGTTACTAAAATAAAATTACAAGTGGGGGGGCGGGGGGATGGGGCTGCTAAACAAAATTCAAAGGGTGGCCTTTTAGATCGCCTCCAATATTCTGCTACTGTGATTATATTTATCTGCGTGAAAAGGTATCTTTAATATAATTATTTCAGMAATTAATAAAWTTAGATACTATATCTATYTACATAGTTTTTATATACATGCATATTGCATATACGAAATATAGATAGGGTTACACTTAAAAGATAAGTGATACAATTTTAATAATTAGAATAGGCAATTCTGTCTCTGTATCGTGTCCTACATTTTACTGTAGGTGTTTGCTTATTTTAGGCGGAGTTCAAACTTAACACGCTGTAAATAAATGGATGCGTACGGGGGTGCATATAGTGTACTTGCTCCCCTTCACTCCATAAGACATTCTGTAAATTGTCTTAAAATTTAAGTCCTAGAGTAGGTATAGGATCCTAATTAATGTTACTAGTATACAATGTAAATTTTTTAAATATACGTTGTAATAAATAAATCATGTTTTGTGATAAAAAATATAATATAAGGTAAAATATTAACTCCACAAGACGCCTAAAACTCAATTGGCTCAAAAAGACACGCTGATATGCGTGGAATAACTGTTATGGTCATAAAAACTAGATTTTATTGACTAAAAAGTACAAAAAAAAAATAATAAATAGGCATTTCAATTATATTGGATCTAACTGATCCAAGGGAATATATAAATAGCTTGGTAGTTGGTAAATACTACTGTACAAGTAATTACACACGACTGATAAGTGACCAAAAACATTGTGGGCACTTTCCAAAATTTAGATCTGCGCAAAATTACTCTGAATTTTGAAAGTCTGATTGAAAAAGACAAAGGTTATTTACAACAAATGAAATCGACCACGCACAGTTCTGGATTGACATTATTTATTATACTTGAAGGCAAAAAACAGATTTACTCCCATTAAGTCACATATGTTTTGAGGTGTAGTATTGTCGAGATCTATAGTAATTTTTTTCATAAAAAATGCTACTTTTTAATGATCATCTTGCACATTAATTTTTTAAATAGATAGTTTAATGGAAAATTATTATTGTTTAAATAATAGATTAAAAATATTACGTAGTCTTGAAAATAAAATGGCAGACATTTGAAATAATTGCGGAGATAGTTGTTAAAATCTTTTTATTATCTTGACGGTTACAAGGTATTATAAAGTATAAGGTGGATGGTATAATACATTTATAATAGCTGCAGAAGGTAACCAAGCATTGTATAATTATTTATACGATATGATCACTACAATATTATACGATACATAAACACACGCAACAATGAAATAGGCGATATTATCACGCTCAAAGGTGAATGAACTTAGCATTTATTGTGGATATAAATTGTGTTGTTGTATTAATATTTTATTGTATTTAATAAACTAGAAAATTCACAGGGAACAGGATTTTGAAAAAAATTGTTATTTGAGGTCACTGACTTTYWTTTTATATGATAATATTTTAATATTTTTTTTACGTTTATAGTACAAAGGTAAAAGGTATAGTTTGTATATATTATATTAAAAACGCAATTCATTTGGCATTAGCAATTAAAGAKATTATGACAAAAATTTTGACTATATTTGCATTAATTGTGATTTATGACGACGAACTCTTAAAGCACGTGCGGTTAATCTTATAAACGAGAAGTTTGTTTTAATTTTGCAGTATTACAAGGTAAATTTTCTGAGTAAACCAAGTACAAAAATTATTATTACACTATAGGTATAAGTGCGTCAAATCATAAAAGTAGTGTCGAAACACATCTACCTATATTGAGTTATTAGTTATTACGATTGTCAAAATATGTGCTGTGTCATAGCACACGATCAGTTTATAGTTCATGTATTTGATTATAGTAATTGGTATTTATATATTTTGTTCTGTACGTTTTGAACCGTGCTATTTTTATGAAACCGCATGATATGAATAGAAAGAAAACTTTTAGTCGAAGTCTCTGTCAAGTTCCTAGTGTTTGTGTAGTGCAAGCGCAGTGAACTTTTTTAAAATTWAAATTTTTAAATTAATAGCCACAGCATGCCGCTTTAATAATACTCGTGTTGGAAAAAAAATATTATCAAACCTTGATAATTTAATTTATAATAAACTTTTAATCGTTCAAACTAAAACAATAAAAAAGAAAAAAAGAATAAAAAAAAGAAATGAAGAGCGTAATGCGCGTTTAATAATAGTGTATTAAGTCTCACAGATTATATTATATTATTCAGGTCTTAATTTTAGTCAAGTTTTGCAACATTTAAGATAAGTGTTTTATAATTATTATTATAAAAAGTGAGAGAGTACGATCATAAGACAGTACAATTCTTAAATAGATAAAATAGAAAATACCGAAAATCGTCCACAAATATAGCTGACGAAGCAATGAAATTTCATTAGGACAGATCATGTGAAAAATATGAAAAACCTGATACGTTTTCCAAYCAGTATTAGGTCAGAATATGGCCTTTCTTGCAGACCTTTAGTTTTACCTATGCCTAGAAATATGAGTATGCTGTTGATTGTTTGTTATGATATCAAAAATAAAGAGAAGATGTACTATAGATACGTGACTTATAAACATAATATAATATAAATTTATATATTAAACATTTAATAATTATAGGTACTGATTGTAAGTAGTAAGTTTCAAGACTTTTAACTCGTGTTTAACTGTGATTTATAAAATATTGTGTGATTTTTATAAAAAATGTAAACTGTCTTGTATTAAAAAGTTTGTAGGCTAAACATATACCAATTTTTTGTTGAAAATTTCAATTCTGTGGGGAGATAGTTACAGTTTGTTAGTCCTTATTATGCAATTTAGCACCTCAACGATTTGATTGTATTTATACCTATTTATAAAATTTAATAAAATTTAATATAATGTATTATTTTTGATTTCTTTTGTTCTGCATAGGTGCGGTACCGGAAGAAAAGTTTCCAGTCATGGTTTGGTTTCATCCTGGTGATTTTCATTGGGGATCACCGATTTATTGGGACGCTTCAGTTTTGGCTGCTAGACACAAAGTACGTTCACCCGTTATAATAATATAGTTGATTTTTACCAGACCAGAAGAAATTATATTCAGTGTTATGTTATGTAAGTTATTGTGTTAAGATAATTGATGCAATCGAATAGATTATTGTAAACTGTACCTAAACACTTATGACTTAATATATCGAAATATATATAATATTTTAAAGTTATATTTAAATTTCACTACTTAATTATATKTAACATTTAAATTATCATAAAAAACTCTGTAAGTAATATTTGTTTAGTCTAATTTATCGAATACCTATAACTTTTTAACAGTTTTTTCAAAATATATTTTTATTTTGACTCAACTTTAGCATTTCCTTTGGTTCTTGGTCTTCTCTTTGCAACTGAAGTCTAATAACTTGTGGTATGTAAATATAGGTATATGTATAATATAAATGTTTCATTAAACCTATTTTTACTAACAGTTTCGGGTTTAAAAATGTATAGTAAATTCATTTTGAAATTAATACTGGAAAATATTTCCATCAAAGTTATTGAATTTTAGAACATTAAGTGCTTTAAATAATTCTTCTGAGTGATAAAATGTGTTTTTGTCATAAGTATAAGTAATAATAAAGTCAGTAGGTACCTATATATTAATATGTAAAATATGTGTTGTCTGGATTTGTACCACAGGTGATCGTGGTTACTACGGCCTATCGTTTGAATATATTGGGCTTCTACACGGACAACACTGCAGAGGCGTCAGGCAACTGGGGCTTGATGGATCAGGCAGCCGCACTGGACTGGGTGCAGCGGAACATCGAAAACTTCGGCGGTGCGGCGCAGAACGTGACAGTGTTCGGGCAGGGCTCAGGCGCAGTAAGCGTGGGCCTGCACGTGGTGTCACCTGGGTCTCGAGACAAGTTCCACCGGGCGATCAGTATGAGCGGAAACGCGCTGCTTCGGACCGCCGTGATGACAGCAGACGGACCGGAAGCGGTACTGGATGCGTTGGCTGACAAGTTCAACTGCTTTCGGAACACGTTGACAGGGTGTCTGCGGAACGTGGACGCCGAGTTGCTCGTGAAGGGTGGTGGTTCATTGACCCGTTGGGGCCCGGTGGTCGACGGTCTGGCGCTAGCCAACGACAGCAGTGGTCTAGAACCATTTTTACCGGATATGCCTGCCGCACTTATGGACGACGGCCGGTTCACCGCTGTCCCGTACATGATCGGCTACAACCGAATGGAGGACTCGTTCGATGCATTTGACAGAGGGGATGGTGGTGGTGGTGCTGGTGGTGCTGGTGGTGAAGGCATAACCAGAGATCGGTTTGAGGCATTGGTTCGGGAAGACGTCGCGATCGAGGACGAAGACGATCGTCGGATTCGTCAGTTCCGGAAGTTCCAGCAACAACAGCAACAGCAGCCAGTCGCTACGGTCACCACTGGGGAAGCGGTAAGTGGATTTTCGGACGGTGAAATGATCATCAACGATGAGGGGAACTGTACGCTGGACGCTGACTTTGTTGTGGATACGGTCGTGTTTCGGTATGCCAGGCAAACGGATGACCCAGAAACTCTGCGACGGAATTACGTGATCATGGCTGCCAACAAGGTATACGGGGCCACCACTTACCGGGTGGCCAGTTACGTGTCACGCCTGAAATCCACGTACGTGTACCGGTACGAATATAAGTTACGTGCGACCAAAGCGCTGCCTGCTGCCGCCGAATGGATGGACGCACCGCACGGGGCCGAGCTGCCCATCATGTGGGGCATGCCWTACTGGCCGTCRGCCACKGCCATCGACTGGACGGCCGCCGACCGACGGATGTCGGACACCATGATGGCAATGTGGACAAACTTCGCACGGCACGCCGATCCAGCACACCGCTCAGCCGCGGTCAACGTCCGGTGGGAAGAGTATGAGGCRCGCAACCCCCGCGTCATGGTGCTGGACAAGGTGCCAAACATGTCACAACCCGACCAGGAGCCTGAGTTCTGGAATAAGTACTACCCCAAGGTGCTGGCCGTCGCGCTGCAATGTTGTGCTAATCAAACTGTAGAATCGGCCGCCACCAACGTTGTAGGGGAGCCCGGGCCCACCGTTTTGATTGCGTTGGGTCTGGTGGTCCTATCGTYGTCATTGGTAGCGAACTCATTGTCGCTGATGGTATAAGCACGTGTACCGACCACACAAATGCCAACTTAATGTTATTTCATAGCTAGGACAATAATTTTTACAGTATAATATGTGTTGTTACTAGGTATATTATTCTTTAAAATTATTAAAATATTATCATTCTCATCAGGTCCGTGGAATACGTTTTGAATTTTTAAGCGACGATAATGCCGGAAGCGTGCTACTGCGTTTTTTAATAGGGGTGATGGTTGGGTGTCATGAATGTTGGGAAAATATCGATTTCTTTCCCTAAAATACGTGGTTTGTAAGTTGCAYTGAATTCACATGAAATATTACTCACAGAATAAATATTATAATAATATTAATATTATGTAGGTATAGTATGAAATGTCGGAAAACAATAACTGCTCTATTGCACCACCACGCGTATCGTGAAAGTCGACAATAACTACACCTCACATGAACCACACACGTAATTCAGTTTTATGTKTTTACGGTATAAACTAAATTAAAACAATCAACAAAAGTATACATATAATATAATACAACTGTTATTTGAATTTCTAAAACAAAAAATACCTAATAGATACTATTAATTAGTATTATTTGTGGTATTCAATTATTGTGAAGATGTACAAGCTCTATTTTGTTTTGTTATATTGTGCCCTTTTATATCATTAGGATTTTGGTTAAGGGATTTTTAAAGATTTTTAAATTGTGTCCCTAAAATATGTTTCAGTACAATCAAACAAGCACATGTGTATTGTATACTTTATTTCAAAAGTTTCTTTGAAATTAGATTTATTTTTCAAAAACCATTAATTTAAAATGTATTAAGAATGATAAAAAGATCTATACCTACTTTATTGATGATGCGTAATATGTATTTATATATAATACTTACAAACATATATATTATCATACACTTAATGCTTTTGCTCAATTCTAGGTACAAAGTAATAATTAGTTTAAATATTTTTAAATTGTATGTAACTGTAATGGATATCATTGTGTGATTTTTTAGACARCAAAAACTTCTACTGATACATATTTTAAGGCATAGAGTATTTATTTTTTTTATTATTGCCTATGTTATTTAACAAAAATACCACAAATTCAAATTTTTTAAACGGAAATCTGTGATGAACTGTTTAAATCTATAAGAAAAAAATGTTAGAATTATTTATAGTATAACATATTTTCAMCGAGGATATTTAAAATATATATAAATACCTTTCAAAATTAGGACTATTAAAAAAAAAAAAAACACTCTGTATATATTTATGCACTATATTTTATTTTATGTCATTGTTCGCTGAAACTGTAATGATATTTAATTACGATGTTAGAATTATTTTTACATTTTAACAAAGACATTTCCAATTATTAAGAATAGGACAAAATACAATAATAATGTATACTTGTTTGCAAAAAAACCCTTTTTAATATAATTTTAAAACAAATTTTTTCGATGACTGGTTCCTTGTTTCAATACTATAGGTAGACTAAAATTTCGATGTACATACGTCGGCATATGTCGGTGTTGACCATAATAATAATTGTTGTTTTCTAGTATTTACTATTAATTCTCCTATCTCACACAGAGATATTCTAATAAAACAAACAATTTTTATAATATAATTTTTTTTCCGGAACATAAAGTACGAATCTATAAACTACCTTATAAATTATAATAATAATTAATCTTAGATGTGCAAAGAGAAACATCTCTCCTAAAAGATTATTTGTTATGAGCTTTTTAATACGGTATTACAATAAAAATTACATATAAAAATACTTTCAATAAATAATAACAATAAAGACAATGATTTTCTCTGATATATTTTAGTATGGAGGTCGTTGTAAGTTATAGCTACAAACTTTTAAAAAAGGCCGTCGTTCAAAACCACACACTTTTATACGCAAATTCCGTAAAGTTTTTGCAAAATTTTACCGTTTAATATTGCACACAATGGTATTTATCAATAACCAACCATCCAAATTTCCATTTTTAACAATGCATGCTGTAGGTAGGTATTGAATGTTGTGAAATTTTCGGTTATGATGAGTGGTAAGTGTGTGGTTTTGAAAAAAGTCCATTTTGGTTCTATAATATTAATTTTTACCCTATATATATATGTAGGCAGTATCCGTATTGAATGTTTTATACCATATCATAATATTACCCATATCGTTTCAATTTATTTTTTGATAGATCTATTTTTTTCAGCACTTTATTTTTCTAACACTTTTAGAAATGTTTTTTCTAACTTTTTTAGAAATGTTTTTTCTAACAAGTAACAAATGTATATTATTTTTAATATTCAATTGAAGATGTATATTGTTTAACCACCATATGCATTTTATTATTGTTACAAAAATATAAATACATAAACCTACCTAATATACAAATAATAATTATATTATATTATATTTACCTAGTGTTATTTATAGTTATTATATTAATATGTATGTGGCAATTTAAAATGTTAATGTACACTATATTCTATCTGTATTATCACTAATGTTTTATTGCTTATAATAAATAGATGTTTAAATTTATAATTATTTCGTTATTGATAAAATTCAATTGATATGAAAATTGTCGTATAAAATTTGAATCTTAATTCTCTGTGTCGTATAGAAACACGCCATGATAGTTCCATCACCCATCCTGTAGTGTGCCATATGGATACTGTTTATTGGTAATAAATGAAAACCTCCTGTCTTGTAGGTTTATATTGTATACAGGGTGATTTTTTTTATCATGAACCACTCATTATTTCAAAAAGTATCAATGTTTTTGAAAATATRTTTTTACAAAGTTTCATGTTGTTAAAAAACAACGTTTTTATTAAAAAATTATGTTTTTTAATATTTTTTATCCTTATAATTTTT